CCAAAAATGACAAGTGTAAAACCATTTAAACAGGAAAACAAACAAACACTGCTGGAATTGTGAAATCCTTAAAGAGGGAGACCGGGTGTGTCGACAGTGTAAGCGTACGTCTACTGTTACGCATGAATCACTAGCCATGCGAATTCACACTCAGTCAAAATGTCACAATCGGATATAGCAATCGTTAAAATAACAGATTACACGGGTATACTGATATCAAAGGATCAAAGGCCGCGAAAACATTTCGTTTGTTAGTCGAGACACCGACACATTGTATAGGTCAACCAATGGAAAAATGTAGCGTCGATTTCAGTCGTTCTTCTTGATCGCTCTAATGGAGCAACTTTTGTGTAAGGAGCACACCTCTGTGAATGAAGTCCGAATAGTGTAATCATGCACGAGCGTAACGTATAAACTAAGATGTGTTAATACCATACGATGAAGCAAAGGGTATGTTTCTGTTGGAAATTGGAACTTGACAATTGGAAAGTGGAAATCATCACATTTCTTATCGATTCTAGTTTGAAGTCGTCCATCTGTGTCAATAACGAGAAAAAACATGATATGAACCAGACCTTCTACTTTCGGTAGGTTCCTGATATGTTGGTTATCGTCAATGTTTTTTGGAAGTAAAATTGGTTTTTGAGAAGGTTTTGTGTGAAATCTGCTTCATATGAGTACAAAATCAAGTTTGCCTAAAATGGCACACAAGACGGTCCCAAAGCCAAGACAAAAGATACAGACTGCACACGCTGAAATATCTCGCCTGCTTTAACTTTACTTTTATTTATTGTTAATAGCATATATCTGAGAAATCTTAACGTTGACCAATGAACCATTGCTAAACCAAAACCGAACTTTTCAGTACATGGCAATATTGATACTGGTAATAGTAAACAATGCAATGAACCATGATACTGTTAAGATCAACAGTGCCGGAGGGAGGGAGGCCTAAACAAAAAAGCCAAAACCATTTACAGTCAACAGTGCCTAAGGGAGGTGGGCCTTAACAGAACAGCCAAAATTACATAAGTGCAACAGTGCCCGAGGGAGTTAGGCCTAACCAGAACAGCTTAAACCATAATTTAATGTACTAGCAATTAACATACAAAATGTGTCATATGAAGCACTGGCTACTAAATGGATGATATCCTGTGGGACTTGTACTCTTTCAACAGAGGTACCGATCCAGTGGGAGTAAAGGCATATGATATGATTTATGCATGTGTGCCCAAGCCACTCGAAATTCCTTCATTAGATACGCCGAGACCAAAAGTTTCACCGAATACGACTGATTACTTAACGATTTATAGTGCTATAATGATAAACACAAGGTGTGTCTATAGTGCAGCAGTAACAGCTAACACTACTGGAGCATCTGTGTGTACCCATCGAGTTGTCCGTCTCTTTCCATTTGTAAATTTTTATAAATGGATTTGACAATTTGTTTAGGTCCTTTTTGTTCTTATAGCTCTTCAACTGTTTCGGTTCTTTTACATCCTTAGGTTTCAAATATTGGCTTTGAGCGTTTCTGAAGAGAATATATCCAGAAAAGCGCTTCTGACACATGAAATTTAAAAAAGTGTTGTTTTCATTTTTTTTTTTTTTTTCCTAACGTTTTGTTCTTTTAACTTCAATGATTTGGCGAGACAACGACGATAAAGTATTTCATTACTTTTATTATCTTTTATTTCCAAAACGTATAGAAAAAGGAAACAACCAACATAAAGTAAAAAAAAATACAAAATAACAATTGTAAAATATACTTAGAGTAAATATATATCATATATATGTAGGACTCAAATTTATGGTGGGTTCCAAATCTATGGCAGATTCCTAATCTATGGTAAATGTGACGTCATGCCATTCCAAATTTATGGCAGATTGTTTTACAATCCTAATCTATGGCAAGTTTTGTAATTTCCTAATCTATGGCGGGTTTTTCGTTGTTTTCAAATCTATGGCAAATTTTGTGCAAATGGAAAACAATGCAGTACATATACGACCAATGACTTGTCTTAAACAAGTGGACATTTACGACGGGAGCATGTATATAAATGTTTGTGAAATACAAATTTCATAATGGTCAACCAAATCGTGTTGGCAACCAATCAAATTCGTAAATGATGAAATCATATACCTTAATACAGACTTCAAGATTGAAATGATGTGCACCGTAAACATATTTTTTTTTTAATTTGTGCATGTTACCTATTTAACCCATTCTTTAAACCAACTAGTAAGTCCCTTATAAACAAAAAAAGGGGATAGTTTTTTTTTATAAAACAAAAATGATAAATAAAAATGAACAGTTTGAATTTTCAAATAATATCATACTTCATCGTTAATATCATTTTTATTTGATGACGATTTAAATCAAATTGGTATCCGGTAATTTTATCTTTCACTTTATAAACTTTGCCAGCTGTAGACAGTAAAATATTTACTATAACTCCTTTTCTAAAATATCCGGTACTAAAAAAAACGGTGCCCTTGTTCATCGCGGGTCTCGGACGGTACAGCACATTTTGTCCCTCTTCATGATAATAGGTCATATCTTCCTTTAAACCATCCGCAAATTGTTGTCGAGGGAAATACCTTCATCTGGAATCGTGTTCAAATCTATGAGTTCCGCCAACGTTTGCGGCGGCGACGATGTAATATTGCGTTATTCTATTGTGACGTAATTTAAAGATCTGCCATAGATTTGGAGAAAACAAAAATCTGCCATAGATTTGATTTGTTTGACGTTTGTTACGTCACATTTGCCATAGATTAGGAATCTGCCATAGATTTGGAACCCGCCATAGATTTGAGTCCTACATATATAATCATTGAAACATTGCAAAATCAGTTGTAATGTTAATAAAATAACAGACTGAGTGCAAATAAATTTTTGAATAAATTAAAATGTACTTGATTCATTGGTTATTGCTTGCTTAATGTCACGTGGCAAGAAGATATACAGGAAATCAACAACATATACTTTCTAAATATTTCTTTTTATATGTTAGGTAAGTATGCAACCCTAATAAATTTCGTTGCAAAAAATCATCTTGCATTTCATAGATGATAGATAGCATATGAAGAACCTTTTTTTTATTCAGTGAGATTAAAAAACACATCGAACGAATCTGGTCACCAGTTACTTCATAGCTTTTATAAGATTTATTCTTTCTTTATCGAACACATGTGTGTGGGCTTTGTGGGGGCAGGGTCAGGCATTGTCCATTTTTTGTACCATAATGAAGGCAAATCAACAAATGAAGTGAAGGTTGACGACGCAATTACATTTAGAATAAACAATGGACCAGGAAAGGTAGAAATTTTGAAAAATTACAGAAATAGTTTCCCGCACTGTATATAGCAGGATTCAAGATTTCACCTCTAGTGATAGTTTTACTTATTTGTAAATTTGAACCATCAAGAGTAGAACAATTTAGTATTGCAGATGGTGCAATGGTAGATACTGCTTTTCTATAGTTCTTTTCTGGAGATCCGAAAAAAAGTATTCCTTTTGTATGACGTCATCAGACATAAATTTCAGTGACAGGTATGTTAAGTATACCTTTCACTACTGCTACTTAAGTACAAGAAGTCAATTTACTTTTAATAGAAAATATGAAATCTATTACAACAATTAAAACCACTATCATTGCATCTCCATTGAAATAAATGGCTTAATTCAAATGGTCGATTTTTGTCTTTTTTTTGTTATAATTATAAAAATAAAGAGATGTGGTATGATTGCCAATGAGACAACTCTCCACAAGAGACCAAATGACACAGAAATTAACAACTATAGGTCACTGTACGGCCTTCAACAATGAGCAACGCCCATAACGCATAGTTTATTAGGCAGTTACCATAGGTTTAAAATAATTAATCGGTAGTCGACTGTAATACATGGTAGGGTTTTTTGTACATATGCGAATGACCGCAAATGGTATCTGTTAGAAAATGGGATTAACTTCCTGTTGTATGGTGTGCCTAAAAAATCATTTTCATCTATTTGAAATTAATTACTTCAGGATTATTGTATGTGATGCTAATTTTACTTAAGATTTGTTACATAACGTCAATGATCAAATAATGATATAAAACTTGTTATTGTGTGTTTGATAAGATGTGGTGTGCTTTAAGTGATGTGTTTCCAGTCTGTTTCCGTAAAGATAAGCTCGTAATGGTTTCAACGGAATCCAATGTCTCGCCCACGATTACTGATGTCAGTGTAAAAGTGTAATTTTGACTGTAAAAAAACTAGTCCACATAACAGAAAAATACGGAATTTTGCTCTAGATACTGTCTTTTGATCATGAAGAAGCTTCTTTTGGTAAAATTCTACGAAGGTTTGACATATTATTGGATGTGTAAAAAAACTTTAACCCTAGACTGTATGTTAACCTTAACTGTTAAAAAACTAAGTTCATTTATCATTATAGTACGAATTAAAAGTTAAGACTAATATTTTTTTTTCACATACTGTCATGTGATAATAAAGAAGTTTCTCTTCAGGTTTCGTTAAATTCCATGAAGGTTTCACAAAGAAATTGGTGTCTAAAAAAAATTAACTTTACACTGTATCTAAAAGTTAACTGCCAATAAAAAAAAAAGTCAGTAAGATACGGTATTTTGCACTAGATACTGTTTTTGACCAGAAAGAAGCTTCTGTCAAAGTTTCGTAAATTCCATGAATGGTTTGACAATTTTATTGATGTTTTGTAAAATTTTAAACCGCAAACTGGAACTAAATACTCACGACGCTGCAAAGACAGAATTTAGGATCGCTTTGTCTAGCGTCTGTGACTTTCGGCACAGGCTCGACAAAAATGTAAGCTCAAATAAAACAAAATTTGGTCCAACATACTGTGTAGTTTATACATGACCACCTACTGTTTGTTTGGTGTAACGCAAATTAATATAGACGTTAAGACATTGTGTCTGTGTCTGTAAATTGAGGAAGAAGGAAAAACATGTTTTAACAATAGAAGTTTAAAAAGTTAACTCGAAATGGAAAACGGTCGTAAATTTCTCGAGACAAATGTTTTCCAGCAAAACAAAGAAAGGGGAAATAATTCGTCTAAGGACTTATAAAAGATGATAGGTACAATTTCTTGTCAACATTTCCATTCTTCCATTTCGTCTTTACGGCTCCCCAAGGTTGTTTTACTTCCCTTTATATCCATACAGTGTTCATCTAATACTTCTTCCTAATGTCAATGGTGACGAGTCTCTCCCATCCCTTCTATTCCGTCTTTGTACCGGAAAACACTGCCATAAACACAATGCCTCGTCAGCTCCAGCGGAAGCTACAAAAAAAGATTGGTCATCTGAATAATAACTATTATAATGGAATGTTATAGGCTGACCACTAGGATGAAGACAACGTGTGCTAAATGCTTCACTCGGTGTGGCCATTGTGACGTACTGGTAGTGGTATTAATGATTTTGCATAGATGTGAAGACAACATGTTTAAATATTTATGTATTGAGCAAAGGCTTGAAATCAAAAGTCTAAAACAAACCTTATTTAGCTAACCATTAGAAAGTTATCAAATACATTTACTAGTAGTTTATGATATTATACAAATATTGTCAGGGCTTATTACAACCTAACCATTAGAAAGTAATCAAATACACATAGTTTATGTTATTATACAAATATTGTCAGGGCTTATTACAACCTAACCATTAGAGAGTAATCAAATACACATAGTTTATGTTACTATACAAATATTGTCAGGGCTTATTACAACCTAACCATTAGAGAGTAATCAAATACACATAGTTTATATTCTTATACAAATATTGTCAGGGCTTATTACAACCTACCCATCAGAGAGTAATCGAATACACATAGTTTATGTTATTATACAAATATTGTCAGGGCTTATTACAACCTAACCATTAGAGAGTAATCAAATACACATAGTTTATGTTATTATACAAATATTGTCAGGGCTTATTACAACCTAACCGTTAGAAAGTAATCAAATACACATAGTTTATGTTATTATACAAATATTGTCAGGGCTTATTACAACCTAACCATTAGAGAGTAATCAATTACACATAGTTTATGTTATTATACAAATATTGTCAGGGCTTATTTCAACCTTACCATTAGAAAGTAATCAAGTACACATAGTTTATGTTATTATACAAATATTGTCAGGGCTTATTACAACCTAACCATTAGAAAGTAATCAAGTACACATCGTTTATGTTATTATACAAATACTGTCAGGGCTTATTACAACCTAACCGTTAGAGAGTAATCAAATACACATAGTTTATGTTATAATACAAATATTGTCAGGGCTTATTACAACCTAACCATTAGAGAGTAATCAATTACACATAGTTTATGTTATTATACAAATATTGTCAGGGCTTATTACAACCTTACCATTAGAAAGTAATCAAGTACACATAGTTTATGTTATTATACAAATATTGTCAGGGCTTATTACAACCTAACCATTTGAAAGTAATCAAGTACACATAGTTTATGTTATTATACAAATATTGTCAGGGCTTATTACAACCTAACCGTTAGAGAGTAATCAAATACACATAGTTAATGTTATAATACAAATATTGTCAGGGCTTATTACAACCTAACCGTTAGAAAGTAATCAAATACACATAGTTTATGTTATTATACAAATATTGTCAGGGTTTATTACAACCTAACCATAAGAGAGTAATCAAATACACATAGTTTGTGTTATTATACAAATATTGTAAGGGCTTATTACAACCTTACCATTAGAAAGTAATCAAATACACATAGTTTATGTTATTATACAAATATTGTCAGGGCTTATTACAACCTAACCGTTAGAAAGTAATCAAATACACATAGTTTATGTTATTATACAAATATTGTCAGGGCTTATTACAACCTAACCATTAGAGAGTAATCAAATATTTCGGACCTAATTTCTATTTCAAAAAACAACGGCAGACATTATCTGTTAACAAAGCTCTGTTCATTACCGGTTATTAAGTTAAATAAAATTTTAGAGGATTGCAACACAATTTCATATAGCAGTCCTAAGTATGAAATCGTTCAAATTATAATGGCATATTGTTATTCTAAACTGTTTCCCAAAATTGATCGCCCTGAAGATCATAAAAAACAGTTTATTAAAATAAAGTATGTCAATAAAGGTTTTGATTTTGTAAATATTGCCGGTATTTTTAACGACCATTCTGTTAAAGAACAAATTCCGGGATATTTTGATAATACTGAGCTCCCTCTTATTTGTTATATTTACAAGAAATCTACCCGGAAATTTGTGTTTAATTATAGCCAATTGTGTAAAGATGTTAATATCAGTGAAAATACACCTACTTCATGTAATTGCAGTAATTCTGAATACATTTATGGACCCATTTCCCATGTTATAACAGGAGATCTTAACATCGTTCAAGACCGAGAGTTAAAATCATTCCTCAGTAAAGGACCTAAATATCGTCCCCCGTCAATTATTAATTGGAATGAGTGTCGTAATATCATCCACGACTCACTCCATACTTACTGTTTGAAATGGATAAAACGGGAAAAAGCTGACAAAAAATCTTTGGACTCTTTTTTTAAATTAGTAATGAACATAGTTGATATACGTATTCAACATTTTAAAGAACATTTTACTCTTAACAATAACCACAATAAACCTATTTCTCGTATCAAACATAAACTAAAAGAACTAGCCAAGGAATTTGTTTTTGTCCCGGCCGATAAAGCTGCTAATAATATTATTATTGTATGACGTAAATTTTACATTGAGGTTCTGAAAAAAGAAATCACCAATTCACCAACATTCCAACTGACTCCATTTTCAGAAAACGACATCTGTAACAAACATAAACTTTTAGCTACCGCTTTACAAGCAGAACCAAATACAATGAAAGTCCCAACTATGTATTGGCTTCCGAAGCTACACAAAACACCTTACAAATATAGATTCATTTCGTCTTCAAGCCATTGTTCCACTACTAAAGTGTCTATACTTCTTACCAGTACACTTGGTACAATCAAAAACCTGATAATAAATTGTTCAAATAAGGCCTTCGAAAATAGTGGAATTAATTACTTTTGGAGTGTCAAGAACTCGTTGGAAGTACTTGATAAATTGCATGCATATATTGGTGATTTTGAATCTGTTCAAAGTTTTGATTTGTCTACCCTATATACCACATTGCCTCACATTCTCATTAAGAAAAAATTCACACACCTAATTAAATGGGCATTTAAAAAGTCAGAATGTGAATATATATGTTCAAACTCTTTTAGGTCATTTTTTAGTAGCAATAAACAAAAAAACTATGTCAATTGGACATGCTTTGATACTATATATGCCCTTGAATTTTTACTAGATAACATTTTTGTTCGCTTTGGAGATTCCGTATATTGTCAGGTTATCGGAATTCCAATGGAGACTAACTGTGCACCACTTATTGCGGACCTTTTTTTTGTATTGCTATGAGTTACAATTTATGACAAAAATCAGCAAAGACCGATCGAAACAACATCTGATACACAAATTTAATAATACTTTTAGATATTTGGATGATATTTTGGCTCTCAATAATGACGACTTCAGTATGTATACTAAAGAAATTTATCCTGTTGAACTTACTTTAAATAAAGCTAATACTAACAATGACCACTGCCCTTTCCTCGATCTTGATATCTATATCATTAACGGAAAGCTTAATACTAAAATATATGATAAAAGAGATGATTTTTCATTTCCTATCGTTAATTATCCATTTTTAGATGGTGACGTTCCCTTGTCACCATCTTACGGTGTTTATATATCTCAACTTGTACGATTCGCTCGTGTATGTAACAATGTTTTAGATTTTAACGAGAGAAATTTATGTATTACTGAAAAATTATTACACCAGGGTTTTCGATATCACAAACTAGTCAAAACATTTACTAAATTTTATCATCGGTATAAGGACATCATTCGTAAATAAACCTCAACATGCAGACTTCTTATACGTTCAGGTATTTCACATCCATTTTTTATGGAAATATTCTCTATAAAGCACAAAAATGTCAGTATTCACCTCTGAAGCTAACAAAACCTTTAAATAGACTTATTAAGAAGGGATATAGTTACGATACTGTTGTCAGGTCATTAAAGATTGCATATTTTGGCGTTAATATTGATTCACTTATAGGGTCTTTGCATCGGCACTAAACACATTTATTTAAAAACCAGTTGTTGGCATGACACGGGTTATGTTCTTCTCATATATGTTGTGATGGTATGATACTAAACCCTTAACGGGAAGGATTGTGCCTGATATTCATATGATGAAGACATAATCTTTCAATAAGTTTAATTAAAGTCTGGAGCTGGCATGTCAGTTAACTGCTAGTAGTCTGTTGTTATTTATGTATTATTGTCATTTTGTTTATTTTCTTTGGTTACATCTTCTGACATCAGACTCGGACTTCTCTTGAACTGAATTTTAATGTGCGTATTGTTATGCGTTTACTTTTCTACATTGGCTAGAGGTATAGGGGGAGGGTTGAGATCTCATAAACATGTTTAACCCCGCCGCATTTTTGCGCCTGTCCCAAGTCAGGAGCCTCTAGCCTTTGTCAGTCTTGTATCATTTTTAATTTTAGTTTCTTGTGTACAATTTGGAGTTTAGTATGGCGTTCATTATCACTGAACTAGTATATATATTTGTTTAGGGGCCAGCTGAAGGACGCCTCCGGGTGCGGGAATTTCTCGCTGCATTGAAGACCTGTTGGTGACCTTCTGCTGTTGTCTGTTCTATGGTCGGGTTGTTGTCTCTTTGACACATTCCCCATTTCCATTCTCAATTTTAAATACACATAGTTTATGTTATTATACAAATATTGTCAGGGCTTATTACAACCTAACCGTTAGAGAGTAATCAAATACACATAGTTTATGTTATTATACAAATATTGTCAGGGATTATTACAACCTAACCATTAGAGAGTAATCAAATACACATAGTTTATGTTATTATACAAATATTGTCAGGGCTTATTACAACCTAACCATTAGGGAATAATCAAATACACATAGTTTATGTTATTATACAAATATTGTCAGGACTTATTACAACCTAACCGTTAGAAAGTAATCAAATACACATAGTTTATGTTATTATACAAATATTGTCAGGGCTTATTACAACCTAACCATTAGAGAGTAATCAAATACACATAGTTTATGTTATTATACAAATATTGTCAGGGCTTATTACAACCTAACCATTAGAGAGTAATCAAATACACATAGTTTAT